TATTCTGTTCCATTGAGCTATGTGTCTATTTTTGTGTCACTACCATCTGTTTTGATTATGAAAGCTTTGTAATATAACTTGAAGTTTTGCACCTTCAGCTTTGCTTTTCTTTTCCAAAATTACTTTGGTAATTCAGGGTCTTTTGTGGTTCCATATAAATTTTAGAATTTTTTGTTCTAGTTTTGTAATGTAAATGGTGTTGGTATTCTGACATGGATTGCATTAAATGTGTACATTGCTTTGGGTAGTACATACATTTTAACAATATTTGTTCTTCTAATCCATGAACATGGAATGTCTTTCCATTTACTTGTGTCATCTTCAATTTCTTTCATCAATATTTTATAGTTTTCAGAGTACAGGTGTTTCACTTCTTTGGTTAGCTTTATTCCTATTTTACTACTTTTGGTGCAGTTGTAAATGAGACTGTTTTCTTAATTTCTCCTTCTGCTTCATTATTATTGTATAGAAATGCAACAGATTTCTGCACATTGATTTTGTATCCTGAGACTTTAACTGAATTCATTTATCAGTTCTAGCAGTTTTTCAGTGGAGTCTTCTGGGGTTTTCTACATAATATCATATCGTCTGCACATAGTAAATGTTTTACTTCTTTCTTACTGATATGGATGCCTTTTATTTCTTTTTGTTGCCTGATTGCTGTGGCTCGTACTCCCAGTACTAGTTGAATAAAGTGGTGAGAGTGGACATTCTTGTCTTGTTCCTCACCTTAAGGGGAAAGCTCTCAGTTTCTCCCCATTGAGTATGTTGTTAGCTGTGGGTTTTTCACATATGGCCTTTATTATGTTAAGGTATGTTCCCTCTCAACTTACTTTGTTGAAGGTTTTTATCATGAATGGATGTTTTACTTTGTCAAATGCTTTTTCCGTGTCTACTGAAATAATCATATGGTTTTTAGCCTTTCTCTTACTGATGTGATGTAGAACACTGATTGATTTGTGAATACTGAATTACCCTTACATCCCAGGAAGAAATCCCACTTGATTATAGTGAATGATTTTTTAATGTATTGTGGACTGTTAGCTAGTATTTTGTTGAGGATTTTCTGTCTCCAGAGCCTTACATATCTCAGAATGCAGCCTTGTAGGCAGGGCCCTTCCTCCAGAAACTGTTCGAGTCTCTGCCTTCATTACTTCCTGACCCTATGTTACCCACTCTGGTTTTTCTACTCTGTATTAAGGAGGGCAATTCTCCTCCCTTCAGATTCTTCTCTGCCATTCTCGGTCTTACAAAACCAGACTACGTATTAGAATCACTTGGACCTTTAAACAAACTGGAGCCAGGTCTCAGTCCTAGACGAAATGCAAATCAAAATCTCTAAGAGTATATCGCAACATTGACTTTTTCCCCCCATGTCCTGAGTGATTCCAACCTGAGCTGAGGGTTGAGAACCTCTGCACGAAAACAGGCAGGAGTTTGGAATCCTGCTTTCAGTACTGTCACATCCCTCCTCTGGAAGGGGAGGTGGGTAATGGAGCCAACTACCTATTTAAAGGAGAAAAAAAGAAAAAAAAAGGAGCAAAAAAAAGGGGGGGAGGGGACAAAACAAAGGAGGTGGGGGGACATACCAGCCCAATCAAAGCAAAGGGTAAATGTCTAATAATCATCAGAGATTTTAATTAGTTGGATTTCAGAATATCTAAAACTCTAACTCTTGTTTTGACTTTACTTATTCAATATATTAATAAATGTTTTCTGCCATCTTTAACAAAGGTAGTTTTGCATCTTAAAGCATTTGATACAGCATTTTCACTCAAGTAGAAGTAGTCTACAGACCTATTACTAGAATTTCATTCTTAAAGCTATCTCACCTTTTCTAAGACTGAGAGTCAAGTAATTAGTAACTTATCCCTTTAATGCTGCCAGACAGTCAAAAGTAAGAACAAGCATGTCCAAAACAAGCACATGCTATGTGCTTTAAAGATAAGGATAATCAATAGGAATTTTACTACCATGCTCTATCAAGTTGCAGAATGTTCTATTTTGGCTCTATTTCATATGGCTCTGCTCAATAAAATGACATCAGGTACCTCATATTTCAAAGTGTTCTTTATATAATCAACCTTAGGAGAAAAGCTTTTTTCAGAAAACTGGTCTAAAATTTCTAACAGTTACCTCTTACTCCTAAATCTTTTAAACCGTTGCCTCACCTCTTTTCATTATAAGATGCTTAATTGAAACCACTAAAATTAATGTACTATATCTAACTTTAAGTTTTTTTGAAGTATTTCAAACATATACTTCCTTCAAGCTTTCTTCCATGCCAATATCAAGAGAATACAAATCCTTTGAGCAAGGTAATAGAACTCACATGGGATATAGGTTATCTCACTTCTTTCTTTTATTTCTTATCTTCATGGGAAGCTTTTGGCATAAAAATGAATGCTTACCCATTACTGTCAAGTACCTGTCTTATTGCTGCATGCTTTTGTCATAAATCACAGGTATCCTGCTTTCAAGCTGCCTGAGTATCTAATGATAACATCTTATCAAACAAGCTAAACACGGGCAGTTTAACTGCGGATAAATGAAAGTCAGGGACCAGTAAATCAAGGAGTCTGACCATTGCAAAAATCAAAAGGTACAGAGAAGAGAAAAGCACCCCACCAGCCCAATTTCAGGGAATCCTCCAATTTCAAAATTCATAAAAGAGCAAGGGCAACCCAGGGGTCTCTTACAGGAGAGAAAGTGATGTAGACTCACACAAATCCTAAGGCCAAAAACTGGCCCAAGCATCAAATGCTTTCGATTTCACCCTTCCAAAGGGCAAGGGAAACCTTCCTAGAAAAAAGTACAAAGCCTCATATAGAATACGTGGTCATGTCAGGGAATCCCCAGCCTCTAGGTATAAAAATTAAGTTATAACACATTTTTTTTTATTGTTATGTTAGTCACCATACAGTACATCATTAGTTTTTGATGTAGTGTTCCATGATTCATTGTTTGTATATAACACCCAGTGCTCCATGTAATACATGCCCTCCTTAATACCCATCACCAGGCTAACCCATTCACCCACCCCTCTCCCTTCTAAAACCTTCAGTTTTTTCCCGGAGTCCATAGTCTCTCATGGTTTGTCTCCCCTTGTGATTTCCCCCCTTCATTTTTCCCTTCCCTCTCCTAATGTCCTCCATGCTATTCCTTATATTCCACAAATAAGTGAAACCATTTAAATTGTGGGTAAGTATTCTCAATGTTAAACCCTCCTTATTTTCCCATGAGATATGATTTTTTTTCAATTTTTAATAAGATAAAAAGGGGGGAAAGAGTTGAAGTTTCTTTTTTGTTTGACACATTGCCTTTCCCCTCCAGCATCAAGTTTAACATCTTTTATTGTCACAGGTGCAATCTTTCTAAAAGGACCATGGTTATCAGCATGAAGTTAGGAATGGCTATTTTAGGGTTTCTTCTTTGGACCTTATAAAGGACTAACAACTAACATGGGATTAAACACCCAATACTCATCTAAATTCTACTGACTTTCAAGAGGCAAGACTTTCAATTTGGCAAACATTGGAACATTTTTGATAGTGAATATACATTTGAGTTTTTTCACGTGAAGATGTTGCCTCATAAATCATGAACTCTCTGGGCACAGCGGTCATTTATCACTATTCTCAGTGACCATATTTCCTAATACTCATGACTGATACTAATGATGTATTAGATATATGAATAAATGAATGAAATGGGTGAATCAATCATTCAATAATCTATTACCAAAGTTGATAGATCTTCTTTACTTCTAGGCTCACTAATTTTTAGTTGAATCTAATTTTTCAGTATTACTACTGACCTCTAGGGCAGTTAGGGTCAAGCTAAATGGCATACTAAAAGAAAGAAAACAGTGACCTTGACATACTTAGAAAACTAACAGTAGCAGCGGATACTAATTGATTTGGGACAGAGTCTAGAATGAACTTTGGAAATCAGGAATGCCAATAATGAGAAATGCTGTATCAGGAACTTGGGGCAAACAAAGGATGCCTTCAAGTCTGTCAATTTCTCCAGCAAATGGTCTTTAGAAAATGAAACATCTGAAAAGACGCCTTACAGTGGCCAACATCTATTATATACCTTACTTATTACCATAGACAAATAGCCACTTAGAGGAAGAAGTCTTTGCCAATAAAGAAATGACAGAGATTGGAGGTGGGGACCTGATCTATCTTGGAGAGCAAAGAGCACCTTTGGCCTAACAGGCTTACTTTCAGGAACCAAGGTAAATATCAGAGTTCCAACTTACTATGCAAGCACCTAATGGAGACCCTGGGATCTGGTCTAGAGGAGAAATGGCAGGGAGAATGCTTGTCTCTTAGCTCTCTGCACTCCCATTCATATTCCAGACTGTAAAATCCTACCCTAATCCATTCACTGCATGTTAACATGAGTTAACTCCAGTAGCTCCTTGTGGCTTGCAAAAACACTCCACACACACTATTCTGGAAATCAAGCAACTTTTTCTTATTGCACTTTGCTTGTCCTTCCATCATAGCACTTAGTACAGATATGCTTAATATCATCATCATGTTTTTGAGACTATTTTCCCCAACAGACTCTGTACTGTTGGGGGGGAAAGCGTTATTTTAATAAACAGCTCCTGTTAAAGGAAACAAAATCTGTTGAGAATCTATTAAGTGTAAGTCACTACGTACTCATTAGCACCATTCACCAAATATTTCTGGTTTTCTAAACCTTCTAGGCACAAAGTAGAACTGCATTTCTTCATCCCCTTGTAGTTGGCTGGGTACTGGTGACTAGCTCTAGTCAACGATCAGAGTGTGGAAAGGGTATGTGTGACGCTCTGATAACAACAACGAATGACTGTTTCAAGACCCTCCAGGCTCTTTCCCATCTTGGTGACTGGCAATGTTCATAATACTGACTGTTCCATCTGCTTGTACCCCACAGTAATTATGATGAGCAAAGCACCCTTCCTGTTGACCAGTGAAAGACAAACAAAACCTTGTTATTTTAAGTTAGTCATATTTGGGGTTGTTACTGCAGAACATCCTATCCTGACTGATGCACGTGCCTGCAAGTGCCATGATAAATGTTTTCGTATATACAATCTGATGTTCACAATAACCTAAGAGCTACGTATAACAGGTAAAGCAGATACAGCAGATATGAGCTGTATTTTATAAATGAAATTTAGAGAAGTAAATAGCCCAAGGCTAAATAGCTTTGTTCATTCCTTCATTCAATAAATATCTGTTGAGCACGGCACTCTGCCAGGCTATGCTCTCCACAACCCCAGCTCCTCCAACTAGGTTAGGTTTTAAGTAGCAAAGATAGGGAACAAAAGAAAAAAGGTCCCAACTCTCAGATCTTACATTCTAATAGAGAGAAATTTTTGAAAATCACATATAAAAAATAAAAATTCTACAAGGTAATAAGTGATAGAAAATTAAAATCAGGTGATAAGATAATGGGTAGCTAATTATATAAATCAGAGAAAGTCTCTCTGAGCTGCTTTTTTTGGGGAGGGATGCTTGGGTACCCACTGAAACCCACATCCTTGTCTTTTACTCCAGTAACACAGTTTGCTTTCTCAAAGTACTTCTATAAATAATACATTTTCCATCTCGTTCCATATAAAAACCACCAGGCAGGGCACCTATCCTTAAGAGGCTTTCAACAAGCACGGAGCTCCGATCTTCCTTCCTTTGTGAAAAAGTAAAGCAGAGGCGGTATTCTGCTATGATTTCAACAAGGCCTTTCTACACAGCAGGGCCTTAATCAAGGTTTACAGAGTTGCATGATATGTGCTGTTGTTAGGAGGATATTCACTGGTTCCTTCTAATCTTAGGGTTAAGTTAAATCATAAGAACAAAGAAACAATCATATAAAACATCAGATGTTTAGACTGTTTGTTTATTGGTCCAAAAGAGTTTTGCATCCCCTTTAAAATGTTTAGCTCTCAGCATGCTGTGTTGATGCAATCTCTTTTTTCTCTAGGAATTTTAGTTCTACTACATGAAAGATAAAGGAGATTGGCCATATGTGGCCATCAGAAACCTGTATTAATCTCACCTCACCAGTTCCTTAGCCAAAAAATAGTAACATAAATACACAACAATCAATGGGAAAGGTTATTTGGACATAGAAACATGCTCCCTAACTTTGGCAACTTTTTGCGCTTCTGTAAAGGTCCTTGGGAATAAAATACACTAAGAGTAGCAGTCCATTCTGAGTGAAAAATTCAGTTTATAGGCCACTGTTAATAGAACAAAAAAAAAAAATGCGGGAGTCAGGGAAAGGTACAAAATGACTGAAATTCTGTGTTCGAGGGGCACTTTTCTTATAGATTACAGATTGGTCATTTAAAGACATTTGACCAAAAGAAAAAAGACTCAGAACTTTCTACCATCCTTAACCAATTTACTGTTCATATCTCCATATACATAATTGGAAGTATATTGGAACCCCCAAACCAAATGCCCCACAAAGCCAGCATTGCTCACACGAAGGCACCGCCCATATCCCTAGAATGCCAGCTTAGTGCTGAGAGCCCTGCCATATAGGCGGAAACTGACCATCAGCATATGTCAATCCAGAGTCTTGACTGGCTCCCATACATGCCCAATTCCTGTCCACCATGTACTCCCCTCCCCCTCTCAATTTAATCCTTGTCTTTCCCAATGGGAACAAAGTACATTTTCTTATGTACAAAAACATTTCAGCATGATAGAAGAAAAATAGTTTGATACTTTTCCATTCTTAAAACTGCTATCTCTAAGTCCACTGGGAGTAGAAATAAATTACGCAGGCAAAATTTCTTTTACCACTTCTTTCTCCAAAGGGGAGGGTGAAATAGTGCAAGAGAAAAACTAGCTGGGTTACAGTAGTACCTAGCACACTTAGAGTTAAATTTAACAACACACATATGGTACAGAGAAGGACTGAACCAAAAAAACAGTGTTGCTTCTTCATGCTCACCTGTGCAAGAGAAGTCATCCACTCGGATGTAGCCTGGGACACAGTCACAGCGATATAACCCAGCCAAGTTTACACACACAGTATTGGCATGACAGTAATGCATCTTAGCTGCACACTCATCAATATCTGAAGGAGAACAAAAGAAGCAACATCACAGTTAGGTGAATGAACTTTATTCACTGTGATCACCTTACAATGCAATTTAAAAAGGCAAATGCCCATCAAAGCTAAGAGAAAAAGCAAGATGCAGTAAACACAAAACCTAAATGCAAATTCGACTGCATTCAGGTTCATTAGATCCCATCTTGAGCTGAAAGTATTTCGAGAAAGATGCATGGTGAGATGTTAACAGTTAAGAAACCAAGAAGTATGAAGACTGAATCTGCTCTTCAATCTTAGTCAGTTAGTCTCTCACCAAGAAGGATGCTGGATTTAAACATCCAAAATCAAGGAGTTCTGTGTCCAGTGAGTTGATACCAATTAATATTTATTAGGTGTCCACTGTACATGCTGTAGCTTTTATCAGAGAGATCAAGGGGATCCAGGCCTCTCTGCTCATGTGTCTTACTAAGACACGCTTTAATCCATCTGTTAAAAAATGATGGCGCAGCCAGTTTCTCCCATGTTGTATTGTGAATACAGACAACAGCTGTTGTCTAATGCAAACTGAAATCTTTCATTCCTTGACCTGGAGATCCTTCCCATGTGACAGAATGGGCTGATTCAACAAAAAGATCTTTTTCTCTCTGAAATGGAGGTCAGAGCATCACCAGCTTCCTCATAAACATTCATGGTAAGAACTGAAATAACCTACAACCTTAAGTACAGACTTGAGTCTTTTCTGGAAGTTGTTTTCAGAAATGCCTTAAGTGTTCATTTTACTCAGAGTGCTTATGGAGAAGGAGAGGAAAGGATCACAGCACAGCATGAGGACCTAACACAATGAGAGTTCTGGTTCTTCCATTTACTAGTCTGTGACGTGCATTTAACCATGCTGGGTCCCAAGGTTCTCATCAGTTTGTCATACAGGCCAGTTCTAAACCTACTGCTTTACATCTTTAAATTCATTATCTAATGTAATTCACATTGAATTCCATGATCCAAGTACATGCAGCACTACTGACATTTTGAAGTCTAGAAAATTGAGGCTTAGAGAAGTTAAATATCTGGTACAAAGTCATCCTGTTAGAACAAGCTATACCCAGGATTTGAACTCAGAAGTCAATCTCTTATTTACTATGATTCACTTCATGAAAGCACCTTGAAAATGACAGTCAACCATAGTGTTACTATTAAGGGAATCACCAAAGTCTGTGCTCGCTTCGGCAGCACATATACTAAGGTAATCACCAAAGTCCTAAGGCACTTCATGTGTAGAAACAGAGGATAAAAACAGCTGTGTGGGGTACTAGGGATCTCACTTATCTATTTTAAAAATAAAAATGGACTGACTTATTTCTTAATAAAACACACTTAAATAATATCAGATTCTTTTCAGCACTAAAGATCTGCCAGCCCATAAATAAAAGTTACTGTGGAGTAATTGAGGTCCTAGAAAGACACACAGTTAGCAAGACTTGCTTAACTGTACGAACAAAACACCAGAAATCACTGAAATGCTTCAGGCAATGAAGTGTTCTACTTATACAAGATCATGTTCTTCCAAAAACAATCCAAGACAATGCACAATTAAAATAAATGGACAACTGAATATAAAAACTATATAAGATTCTATCAAGCTGGGGTATGAAGGGAACTCTCCCACGAATTCAAGACAGAATAGTAACCGCACATGAGCATGAGGTGTAGTTCAGATCTTTCTGGCACCCAGGGCATTAGAATTCTTTAACAAGTCAATACCTGACATCATTTAAGCATTTTGCTTCACAGAACAGTGGATATCACAAAAGTCGAGAGGAAAAGGGTTTCAGGAAAGGAGTAATGATCACGTTTGTCATCGGCTAAGAAGCTGAATAAGATCAAGACATCACTAACCAGTGAAGCAATTCACTGGTGACCTTGACCAAAGAAGAGTAGATTTGGGAAGGTGGTGGAGAAAAGCCTGACTTGAGTCAATTAAAGACAGGATGGAAGAGGAGGAAATAGAGACAGAAAAACAAGGCAAACCTTTTGAGATTTTTTTCCCATAAAGAAAAACGGGGTAGTAGTTCCGGAGACACTTGGTGTCGAGAGAGTCTTATTTCAGGATGGGAGAGATCACAGCACGTTTGTACGCTTTGGGGAAGGATTCAATATGAGTGACGCAAACTGATGATATAGAAGAGAGAGATCATTGCAGGAGCCAAATCCTGGGGGGAAGCAGTGCACAGATGGAACAAGTCATCTCTACAACAAGAACAAAGCCGAGATAAGGGAAGACGTGGAGATGGGTTGGCATAGTTGGTGGTAAGATGAAGTCACTCTCCTTTGCTTATTTTTATTTTCTCAGTCAAATGAAAAGAGAGGGTAATGTCTGAGAATTAAGAAAGGGAGGAGGTATCACATATTTAAGGAGAGGGGATAAGGTATTAAACAGTCATGTTGATAAAAGGGAACAAACATTTACTCAGAGCATATAGTACAGTGGCTGAGGAGCTGCTGTGATTTGTGATCACGAATGAGTTAAGTCAGAGCAGTCAGCATGGCCGTGTGTTTTTCTCCAGTTTCATTCAGGTATTTGGGGGCAGTAGAAGGGTAACTGGGAAGTTTGGTGTGACCAGAGATGAGTTTTTATGCAGATATAATGAGTAAACAGATAAAAGGGAATTGAGGGTCTAAAGAAAGAGATGATGATGATGAGGTGCCAAGGAATCTTGGCTACTGAGGAGAGATGTGAGGACATGAAGATGGAGATAGACAGTTGAAATGGATTGGGTATTAGGGGTGGGCACTCTGCTGTACTTTTCAGATCTCACTTCAGAACTAAAGAACTTAATCCCCTAGCTAATGGGAGTATTGCCTGCTAACAATCATCAGCTGTTATCCTTTTAGGGAAACTGTCCTTGGCTAATGAGAGATAATATAGTCACAGTCAGTCACACTTTCATCCTGGGAGTGAGCTACAACAAAGACTGCTTCTCATTTACCCCAGCTCAAGATAATTCTAAGGGACCATCCAGATTTCAGAGCACTCAGTGAGATTGAGCTAACTTCTCCCTCTGTCCAATCCTGCATTCTTCCCTTCCTCGGAGGCCTTCATCCCAAGACCACTCCCTAATAAACTTCCTGCATGCCAGCCTCCATCTCAGAGTTTGCTTCTTAGGGAACCCAAACTGCAGTTTCCATGAGGGTACTAGAATGCATGAGCTAGAAAGCGAGGAGACGGGGTTATAAAGTGTGTGCTTGACATTAATATTTTGGAGCTGATTCAATTACTGTTGATTTTAAGGTATTTTGTGCAATGATGGGGGAGTGGAAGAATAGATCATTGTAAGTGAGAGGCTGGGAATACCAAGAGAAGCCAGGCATTGGAGGGAGTTGGTTGGCATTAGTGCTATTCCTCAAACATTACCAGTTTTTCTCTTTCTGGGCACATCATACAAATGTACTTCCCCATCCTCTTTGAAGTTAAGCATAGCTATATGACCGGGCATGATGTCTGAGCAAAGCATACCACCTCTAGGGGGAAAGATAAAGAGCCAGCACCTGGCTTACCACATTTTCCTGTCCCTGCTTTGGAAATCATGGAAGCACAGAGATGGAGACATTCTCAGCCTGGGTCCCTGAGTGAGGAGTAGGCAACCAGACAAGCCTGATCAACATGTTGCATGAGCTACAAATAGGCTTTTGTTCATTTAAGCCGTCGAGCCCACCCTGGCTGGTAGAGGGGTGACTAGGAAAGGCATCTAAAAGAAAGAGATCATTAAACTTGATCCTAAAAGATGCACAGAAATTCACCAAGTAGAGACTGGAGGTGGGGAAAAGTAAGGGAAACTCCAGAGGCTAAACTTGTTGTCTCTGTAGAGTTACGAAGGGAGAGAATCACTGAGTCATGAACATTAATTAGCCATCTACTAGGCCCTGAAGCAGAGGATGAACAAAATGCCACCATAAACCTAACAGCCTGGCAAGACATTGGGCGAAACTTGTAAGTTCTACCAAGAACGGGAGACCTTTTAACAGGGGGATTGGACGTGGTCTGAGAGGGCCAGAGGAGCAGTCTCTATGGACATGATGTTTCATTGAACACCTAAAACAGAAGTGAAACAGGTGAAGGGGAGAGGAATAACATACCAGAGAAGAATGTTGGAGAAGAATTAGGGGAAGGAGCTTTGTCTACTTAAAGTGAAACTGGCAAGATAAGCTCAGGCCAGATCCTGCTGAGCCTTGTGGGCCATAGGAAGGAGTCTAGACTTTAATCAAGGCAGGGGCACAAAGCAATTTCTGTTTTTAAAATACCACTCAGCTGTAGTGAAGAGAATGGACTGGAGCTGGCCAAGCTGAAGGCTAAATCACCTTGGTATTTTACTCTCAGAGATGTAGCCACACTGAACTCCATCTCATTCTGCCGGGATGCCCAGACATTCTTTAGGATGAGAAACTAGTCAGGACTTGCCTTAGAGTCAATTCAGTCTTCAGCCCATGGGCCACAGCTGCCAACCAGGCTGCTGACTACAATGAATGTTTCCCTGTCATGGACCCTTGTCAGCTCCTCCCAGAGAGAAACTCCTGGCTCATTTCCCTTAGGCCACTGGATAACTGATGAGAGGCATCTGCCTCATCTCGATTTGAAGGAGTTACTCGACTGTAACAAGCTTATTTTGACTCAAACTGCCAAACCATCCCTTTGTTTCAGAGGATTCTAAGACCCTCTGAAGGCTCTTAAGAAAAATATTTTCAAAAACAGGACAAGGGGATGGTTAGAAGATCCCAGGGAGAATTTCTCACATAAACTTCTTCAACCTTTACTCTCTACAGGTCACACAGGACCCCATGCCATATATCCCCACTGCTCCGATGAGGTGTCTTTGAGCTGGTTTCATTTTCACTCCATACCACTGATAATTTCAACTCTTGCAGATCTCATAATTTCCTGGTACCAGTCCAGAAAAAGACAGCACCAAAACAGAGCAGAAAAGTTGACAAACGTACCAGAAAATTAAACTGTTACAACCTTATCTTTGTTG